AGGCTGGGGCTGAGGGGTCCGGCAGCGGTCGCTCCTCCTCTCCTTGAAAGACACGGAAGGGGGAAGGTGATCTGGAAGGGGCGGACATGGAGGGGCTGCAGCGCGTGCTCGCCGCTGGGCCAAGTGTTTGAGCAGTATTTACCAGAGGCATTTAATCATTTCAGCTAGGAAGCAAGAGGTTCGAGGGAACGGTGCCCTAAGAAAACCACGTCGGTGACTAGGGAACACCAGCAGTTTTGACCGGCAACCCCCGGTCTCCACCTCTGCACCTTCCCCCTCCTCTCCCTCGTCAGCACGAAGCGTTTCTCTTCCAAAGTCTTTTAGATTTCCTCCACTCCGTGTGCAAATATCATCACCAGTCCCGGCTCTAGCACCATGTCCTCGCCCATGTGCTGGTTTTCGCAGGCCATCACCACCACGGCTTGCTTGCCGGGGATGCGCTTGGCCACATAGTTCTCGTAGTACCGCCGGTTCATCTGGCGGGTCTCCAGCGTGGCCAGGCCCTGCGGCCAGTTCCGCTCGTGGGCGTTCTCGATCAGCTCGTTGATGATGGACGTGGGGCAGCCGCTCTCCACCAGCGAGCGCTTGATGACGGCCTGCAGCACCGCGTCCGGCGTGGAGATCATTCCACCCCACCGCGTCACCCGGGCCGGCTGCAGGGAGTTCACCCACCTGGGGACAGACATGGGGACAGGGGGTCAGCGCTGTGCGGTTTTGGGTGGCTCCCACCAAAATGGGGGAACTGTGTTCAGCAGCGAGGCCGGACGGGGAACGCCCCCATTTCCCCTCCCCTGTTTTCGCCCCCAGGCAGGACCCAGCTGCGGCGCTGAGCTCTGCTGCTCCCTCCCCAGAGGGAGGGGAAGAAAGGATGAGATGCGAAGCTGCTTCCTCCGGCCTTTCTCCCAAGGAGGAAGGAATCCGGCAGCAGGATGCAGGTGGAAGAATAAAAACGCCCCAACCCCATTGTGCAAGCGGCTCACGTGCCGCTCCCCGGCACAAACACCCCACGGCTGCCTCGCGGCTTTCGGGAAGCATTTTCTTCTCAAACTCAGAAGGCGCTTCCCCCCCTCCCAACCCCGCCAGCGTGGCGGGTGGACTCCCAGCTCCACTCCCGCCCCGATGCCGAGAAGCCCACCTCCTCCCCGGTGGCCGCGACAACCGCCACTTACTCCAGGATTTCGTTGTACTCGATGGTCTCCTCCAGGTTCTGCAGGTTGGGGTTGACGCTGCGGATGGCGCGCATGTAGGCCTTCAGCAACTGAATGTCCCGTTTCTGCAACAGGCGGGACACGGCGAGGTTTGAAAAAAGGAGTCAGTGCCGCGGCTACACACCACGCGACCGGAGCCCGGAGCAGGGCTCACGCGTCCCGGCCCCCCGGCTGGACCCCAGCGCTGCCGCACAGCAGCAGAGCCCCGACCGCGCCGCCCTCCGGCTGCTCTGCAGCCGCTGCCTTCGCCCACAAAGCTTTTTTGGTGTTTGGTGTCCAGGCAGGTGAGACCGACCCTTCCCACAAGAGACCTCGCTGCGAGACAGCCTGTCCTGGTTTCAGCCGGGACAGAGTTAATTGTTTTCCTCGTAGCTGCTGTGTTTTGGATTTCGTATGAGAATAACGTTCATAACACGTATTGGTTTAGTTGTTGCTGAGTAATGTTTATATTAAGTCAAGGACTTTTTCAGCTCCCCACAGAAGCTGATAGGAAGCACAGACAGGACACGATGGCCAAAGGAATGTTCTGTACCATCGATGTCATGCCCAGTACGTAAACGGGGGCTGGCCAGGGGGGCAGGAGTCCGTGATCGCTGCTCGGGATGGGCTGGGCAACCGATCATCGGGTGGCGAGCAACTGTATCGCATCACAATTTTATATATTCTTTTACCATCATTATTATGACCTTCTCTTCTGTTACTGTTCTTCTAAACTGTCTTTATCTCAACCCACGAGGTTGTTTTTTCCTTTTTCTCCCTCTTCTCCCCCCCCTACCGGGGGCAGAGTGAGCGAACGGCTGCCTGGTCCCAGTTGCCGGCCGGGGTTAAACCGCGACGCAGCCCCTCGCGCGCAGGGACCCACCTGCTCGGCCAGCTGATGCTTGTGCTCTGCCGAGGTCTTCTCCAGCTCCGCGATTCTCGTCTGCTGCTGCTGCACCACGGACCTTAAATGCTTGATGCAGTTGTGGTTTGGCAGCTCATCTTTGGGCATTTCCAAGCTGCGGAGCGTTACAGAAAAAGGTGGAGGCCCCACATTAGGGAAAGTTACACACCAGAGCACTTGGCATAAGCACACAAGCAGTCTCCAGAACAAATCCAGCCTTGGAGGACCTGCCAAGAGGCCCGGGAAGCCCAGCGCCGTAACCTCGCATAGGTGTAGGATGGCTCGTTCCTTGCTGTCTCTCAGGGCCAAGCCAAATGGTCTGGGGGAGAGCTACAGGAACAAACCACCACTGGTGGCACGCGATGGGGATTTTCCTCCCCCAAAGTGATCAGGGCTCAGAACCAGTGCCCGCACCAGGCAGCCCATGAGCTGGACCCAGTCTCTGACTTCACCCGAGGAGATGTGATAGTCGCCAAGCCGACAGCCAGTCACCACCTGGCTGGATGCTTACAACACGTGAGTGGGAAGGAGATCGGCACCGAGAGCGCAGGTGCCGAGGCCAGACCAGCCACCCACCGCTCCTGGCTCTCCGCAACGCGCAGGAGGGAGCAGAGCTCATGCTGGAACTTGTCCCAGAGGGCTGGAATGGCTCTGGTCGGATTCACAAAGGCCTCAGTACCCCGTTTCCAGCAGCCAACTGACACTCAAGCCCCAGCAACGAGCTGAAGAGCCAGCGGCTTTGAACCAAGTTTAAAATGAAATGGGTTTGACTAAAAATCCCTCCCGACCCTTTCTGCAGCACCACGGCCTTCAAAGCCCTGCCGCCCCCGGAGCTCTGCACCCAGGGGGCAAACGGGTGGCAGGCACCGAACCTCGGGTTCCTTCCCCGAGCCTGTGGTCCCCACTCTGCCCACCCGCTGTGGCAGAGCCCCCCACGGCCATCCTCACCAGCATCACTGCTCGCAAGTCACCGGGCG